CAAAAGCCCAAGTCCCCGGAGGAGCGTTGCCTGAGAGTCCGGGCTTGCCTTCCGGATGTGCTGCAGACCTGATGGTTGGGGTGACAGCTGCCCCGGCTTTTAGAGACGAGGCCCTTGAGCTGAGAGGCAGCTCTTCTGAGGACACCTCTGGACCTAGGAAGCAGCATGAACTTGAGGTTGTTGAGCATGATTGTGTGCATGATTTGCGGCATGATTCTCTGGATGAGTCTTTGGGCACTTAAGGAGGGGCATTGCGCGGACAACCATCTCCTACGAAAGCAAGCCGCAATTGCGGCTACCGCGGCTGCCTGCAAGTGGGGATCGGTCAAATCTTGGCTTGGCCCGTGCTTCCAGTCGAAAAGCCCATACCCCTTGACTCCGGCAAACGGCTTTTACAATGCCACGGCTCCCCGCAAAGAGGCAATGCTAGCCAAGACCGCTTGGCCTATGCCTATAACTATAACACGTTCGGTGCCTGCGTTGGTCAGGCCACAGAACTGGCTGTCAATGCAAAGGCTGAAGAGATGTTCGAGCGGGGCAACCCTAGGATCCACAACCTTGGTCTTTAGGGGAATTCAAGGTTCTGCGGCTGCAAACAATCTGCTCAGACCGTGAGGACCTGCTGCCTGGGCTGAAGGAATCGTCTTGGGCACTGCAACTTGGACTTGAGCTGATGAGCTCCGCGACTTCGACGGTTTCATAGGGACCTGCTGCCTGAGCTGAAGCAGCTGGCTCACGCACTGCAACTTCGGTGGTTCGACACCGACCTGCGGCTTGAGCTGTAAAAGCTGACCTGGGCACTGCGATCTCACTGGCCTCCGACCCAATCAGATTCTTCTTCGGCCCAACTCTCTCGCGACTCCAAGCTTCTGCGACAAAGGAATCCCAGCCTGGATCTGGCTCGAGACGAGCCTCGAAAGAATATGCGGGCTCCCTTAGGCCCTGCATCTGCAACGGATCGAGGCCATTCTCCGAGAGAAAATCATCAAGGGGACAAAGGGAGCCTTTCTCTTCAGCAAGGAACCGGCAAAAGTCGAGCGGGATCAGCGGCGCTATGATACTCGAACGCCACATAAGCGTAGTAGGGATGCACCTCGAACAGCAAGCAAGCAGGCACCGCGCTTTGCCAACGAGGGTTGAGCCCATGAGACGAGGATTTGCTTTTTATGAGGCAGCCACAGCACACCCGAGTCCAGGCAGCTCGGCGGACGCTTTCGCTCCCTCATGGCAACGCCGAGATTTTCCTCAACAACCAGATAACTTTCACGCTCTTCTGGATTTATGTGCTCACCAGCAAGGCGGCGACAAATTCCCAGCAGCTTGAAAGGGAGACATCGGTTCAAAGTGGTCCAGAGCGTACGGTAATGGTGCGTGTTATTCTCGTCAGCCAGCAGACCTTTCGAGTGCAACAGGGCCTGGGGGACGCATTAAACGGCTCCAAAGTCCTCTCGTAAGCGAGTAGCGCAGGAGTTCCTCGGCAAGACCTTCTGGGACATACGTGAAGACTCCCGCCCCTTGATCGTCAGACGCATCCGTGGCGACGAGAGTCGAAGATGCTTGAGCCCGCAGGTCCCTTGCACGAGAGGCGCCAAGCAGGCCACGCAGAAAAGCTCGGCACGAAGTTCGACGGTCGGCCTATAATGAGCTCGCTCTGCTCCAAACCTGTTTGGTCTTTGAGCTTTATAAACCTCCGTAAGCAAGCAAAGCAAGCGCCTTCGGAAAGAGAACGCAGAAACCCAGCAACCGGATAACACCACCAGGAGGGAGACCGACAGGAAAGGCAGGCGCAAGGCAGAGAGGGTGATGTGCACCAGTGGCACAAGTCGGCCCGGGTACTCCTATCCAGCTACCAGTCAAACAAAGCCGGGGGCGCAATCACCCGGCATCTCTTTCGAGCTGAGCGCCAGACCTCGACTGTGGTCTGGCAGAAAAAGCTCTTTCCTTCATGCCTCGGGAGTGGAACAAGCGGCTCTGAGCTTTGCGATGGCATCACGGTTCGCTGCGCCTCGCTCGGCCTCGGGCTGCTGCTGCAAAGCTTTCTCCAGAACCCGCAAATCGTCTATAAGAATTTCCAAAGAAACCCTGTCCTGCGGACGCCCTCTGTAGGTCAGCAGGTTGAGCATGCCGGCTGCGCCTGAAGTCAGTGCCAGCAACATGGGCCGCCTGCCCGAAGGTGACGGAGTTCAGGTCTCCCTTGTCAGGTTTTCAAACCCACCACGACCTTGGAGGAGGCCCAAAGGCGAGGCTCGAAAGAGGAGAAATGGCCCACCTCTTCTGACCGATATGAGCCGACCAAGATATAATGATATAATGGCATGCCCTAGAAGCGGATATCATGAAATTGCAATAATAATCTCTGACATCCTCTCAGTCTCCTGAAGCAAGCAAAGTGTCTTGGGGGGCTAGCACGGCTAGCACCACATCGAGTAGGCAGGTATGCAAGCCAAGCTTGGACAGCCACTTGCTGGCGGTGCGCGGGCAAAAAGCCTCAGCTCCTGCCATCCTCCGTGGCTGGGCTCACATTTCCGAGTCCTGGTCCTTGGCTCGCTGGAACGCCTATGGTGATGTTGATGCCGAGAGTATGGGCCGCGCAGCCGGCAAGTTCGAGAAGGTCGAAGCAAAGCTTGCCGATCTTGAGCACGCAGCTCTTCAGCATGAAAGTGCATGGCCCAGCCTTTTGCGGTCTCCCTCAGGTCGGGCGGTTGACTTTCCCCAGGCTGCGAAGCTGCATTCGACCGCACACCTGCCGGTATTTTTGCGATACCGAAGAATCGAGAACGTGACCGTCCTCGGGCGAGGGCGGCGAAGAGGCATTGACGCTAGATGCTCAAAGACCTGGGCATCAAGCCGCCCCGGTGAGAGAAAATGTGGCTCGAACAAAAATCGGCCCAGCTCTGCACAAAGGAAAACGGAAACTCAGCCCGCTGAGCTCAAAGTGTCACCGGACAGAAAAGTTTCTAAAGCAGGGTCATCGTGCAAGCGGGACTGCAGCAGAGCCTAAATGGCCGAAGCAGGGACTGTGCTAGCAGCGGCCCCAGGCACCTGTGCGGCTGCAGCGGCGTCTTTGCAGTGCCAAGAAGAACCCACGAAAGGCGGTCCAGGAAAAGGGGATCAAAAAGCCCACTTCCGCAACAAAAACACCCCCGCCTGGGAAGATGCCACGATCAGCACACCGAGGATGAAGCGGCTCGCAGGCACTGAGGAGCATGCGGAGTGCTGAAGCCAAACAGGCAGCAACGTACGAGGATGCACAGAAGCGACGGGCGCATCGCCAGCACGGAGCCAGGAGGACGCGTGCCGACTCTGGCTGAGACAAACACAAACACACTATTGCCCTTGGCCCCCGGACAGGCCTGCTCTCGAAAGTTTTTCCGGCTTGCCCTCTCTGCCCTTCTTGCCACCTTGCCCCTCCCCCGTCGGAGGCTGGCCATCAGCCGGAGTGCGAGGAGGATCCTGACCTCGGGACTTGCCGAGCTTGCGTTTCGCATCAAGATAACCTTCAACTTCCTTTGCGCTGTGGAGCAGCAGATCGGCGACTCTCGGGTCGATCAGGCGGGAATGAAAACTCTTCAAGGGATCAAGCCGCTGCACTCTGATCGGGGGAAGAGGCTCCAAACCAGCAAGGCCTTCTGCTTTGCCCCGAGGCAACGGGGTCCCTGGCCCAGAGCCGACGTCATCTCGGGCACGGGCGGCCTGAACAGCAAGCTTGGCCTTCGGACGGCCCGCTGTGGGAGGAGGCACCAAGGATTTCACCACGCAGGCCAACTCCCTCACTGGGATCCCGAAAAGCAAAATTCTCATTCGCGACTCAAGCCAGGGCCTCGGCAAAAGGAAGGCAAGCTTCGCCCTGCGGGTTGCAAAATCAAAAACCCACCCAGATCTTTATCGTCCCAGCCCCAGCTTGATCACGAGCTTCAAGGGAAGCCGAAATAGTCACCTCGACCTGCACAAGGGCTTCGTGAAAGGGCCCGCCGGCAGGATCCGCTGTGCCACCACCTTCCTGTCCCAAGCCTTTTGCGGGAAGGCCACTACGACTCTGCCTTCAAACTCAGTAACCAAAACAACGGCGATGCTGCGCAACGAGCTAGGCTCTCCCATCTTCGAAACTCCTTCACGAGTCTGTGACATGAGGGTAAGGACAATCATGCAGCTTCACTCGCTAGCTTCGCTTCCCACTGTGCCGGGAAGCCACAGAACCTGTTGCAGAAGCCTTCCTTCACTGGAGCCAATTGAATTGATCAAAGAGCCAGGGGGTGCAGGCGAGGCTCCGATAGGGAATTGAGGAAGGACCGAAATTCCCACGCACGGGGAAGAAGCGCCTATGCGAGGCAGCAGCGGCCGGCGGAGGCACGACCTCGAACACACCAGCTTGATGCAGCTTGCCCACGAGCTCTTGCACACGTGTGAGAACCTGACCCTGCCTATGCGCCTCCAGGGAAAGGGCCTGCACAGATACACTCAACTGCCTCAAAAAGGAGAGGGCCTCGTCCAAAAGCATGCACCTGTTCACGCACGAACGAAAGCCACCAAACCCGGAAAAGATAAAGGAGATCCATAAGTGGCCCCAACAGTAAGCCCACCAAGATTCCCAAGCAAAGGCTGTCGCAATGAACCCTGCCCTCGAAAGGATCGCTCAGGACTGAGCAATCAGGGCAGAAGCCCAGCGAAGCCAAAGACCCTCCAAGTATCGAAACCTGAAGGGGCCTGGCTATACGAAGCCAAAAGCTACACGTCCACATAAGAGTGCATGTGAAGTCATCCCACTCGTCGTCATCGCTGTCAATTTACACTTTCGGTGCCTGCTCTCCTTTATGCATCTCCTGGACGTGAAATTCGCTTACATTTTTCGTCCTGGGCTTTGAAGACATGCTGGACGGGCTGAGTCACCCTTCCAACTGCAGCACCGGCCACCTGACAGGAGAGCGTTCTTCCACGGAGCTTTCGTGGCATCTATAGAACAAACGGCCAAAGGTGACACCTTTTTTCCGAAACAACTGACATCACGAAGAATCAGATGTGTTCGTGTTCTGGCTTAGCCAAGACAGCGGTTCTGACGGTTCTGATTCTGCGAATCTCAGAGATCTTCTTTGTCCTGACCAGGGCAGAAGCCGCTTTTCACTGCGATCCGCAAGAGACATGACCGGCGCGCAGCCCGCCTTCTTCATGCCAAGCTCCATCATCAGCTGCTGCATCTTCTCCATGCCTTCTTGAAGCTTCGTTCGCTCACATCTCTCCCGCACTCTGGACTCTGGCCTGCGAAGGTCAAGTCGCACAGTTTCTGCTCGGTGCAAAAGTCGCGGACTTCCTCGCCCAGCGAAACAGCCTCGGTAGAGCAGTGTGGCAGAAGAGAAAACTTGCTGCGAGAAGTGTAGAAGCGAATGAGCTGAAAGCATCCATCATGTCGCCAATGTTCTCTTTGACGACGCGGTTGCACACCATAAGCACGTCCTGATCCCGAAAATTGTTGTTTGCAACTCCTGTCTTGGTCTCTGTCCGACGGTCCTCCCGGATGACATCCATCTGCCTGGCCAAGGCTTCGTTCCCAGCGGTCCTAGCTCCAGGCTCCACCGGCCTCGAGATCGGAGCCGCGAGCTCGGAACATAAGTCCAGCAGGACTTCCTGCGTTTGATCCTCCCCAAAGGCTCGGTCGGTCACAGCTGTGTCATCGCCGATTCTTTTCAGCGGAGGCGAAACTCGTCGCCTGGTCAAACCTCTCGTGGAGCGGCTTCTTCTTGTTCAGCTGGTGCCTCACGGCAAAAAGCTCAATTAGGCCCGAGACTTCGAGCCTTCGGAGTGAGTTTGAGGCCCTGGCGTCTCCAGGACGGTCTTGGTCAGAAGGTTGCACAGGACACAACTAAGCCTCAGCTTCTACAAGACAGCCACCAATCTGCATCAAGTCGGGACTTCAACACTCTCATTGGAAGGAGCTGCGCTTTTCCTCGCTGGATGGCCGCCTTGTCGCTTTCATCAAAAGTGGTCGCGGCCTTGACACCAAGCCGTTTGCAAGCACGCGCCTTTGCAAGAGAGGATCGTGATGGAAACTCTCCAGGCTGTCGGCCCACTTCTGATACTCATCGTCGGGAGCCTTCGGGTAAAGTCACCAAGCATCGAAGCCACTTGCAAGAGCTTGCTGCTGAAAAGTGCGGCCAAGGTGCGTCTGCATCTGTGCATGTGCTAACCAGGAAGGCCACAAGAACTCTTAGGAGTCTCATGCTGATGAAAGCTCAGTTGCCTCAGCTGAAATGTTTAAAAACACGTTTCACAAAGCTCTCAAACAAAATTATTGTTGCCATTGAAGTCTGAGAATGTACAACGACTGCAAAGGTGAAGGGCAACTCTGTCACGTGGTGCTTTGCCGTGATCTGTGAGCCCGACCGGCTGAGGCCAGAAATTTCCAGGCTGGCTTCATTGAGTCCTTACAAGAGCACCGGCCTGCTTCGGTGTCGTCCTCCCCTTCGAGCCAGGCCGTGTCAGAGCTTGAACAGCATTGGATAAGGCCTCGCAAGGTCTAGGAGTGTTTCGAGTCTCGTAGCATTATGTCGGAAGCTTGGACCCAGCGCCTGTGGACCGAGCTCCGGCAAGAGGCTCAGGAGCCTATTCCATGCTCTGTGAAGCCGAGCCCCTTCCTACCACCGAAAATCTCTGGCCGCCCACATCAGCCGATCTCAAAGCAGCAGACGCCCCACGAAAACACGAGGCACAAGCAAGTCCGACCTTGCCATCATCTAGTGGCCGCCTGAGCCTGGCCGAGCACTCAAACCCCCAAAGCCAAAAAGCTGATCCTGTCTTCTAGTATGCCTAACAACTGCTTATGTCATCGGGTATCCCCGGGCTACTCCAACACAAAATCACCTTGTCGTGCCTTTAGCTTACACTTCCTGCTGTATAATGTGACATGTGCGCAGGGATGATTTCTCTGTACTTCCTAGCTACTGCAGGCACTTCCTAACCTGCTCTTCATTTGGCCCGAGCCCGTCAGCCATCTGCCGACTCGGATTGCACGTCCTGCCTCGTAACCACAACGAAGATGAACCCTACCTCATCCTCGCAGTAGGAGACACCGAGGCAAAACGCGTACCGTAGTGCTACGGCATGCCACGGCCTCCCCAAGCAATGCAAAGCGGTGGCCACATTGACCTGGCGGACAGTTACTGTCCCCCACTGCTTGCTTTGATGAGAAAGTTGATCTTGAACCCGCTTCACCCCCGAAGGTCACTTAGCCAGAATCCTATTCCTTGCTACTTCCGGGGCCAGGAGTTGCATCAGTTCATCTCGTTCTCGCGAGTTGGGAGGGAAGCGTCATCCTTCCAAAATGGTGGACATGGACCTTGCTGTCATGAAGATCGCAGATAGCATGGTGATCAAGGTATGCATGACACTGCTCCACTTTTTTCTGCACCGGCGCATCCGGAGTCTACTACGGCGCACGGCCCCTTCGGAAGGGGCAGCTAGATGTCGAAGAGCTGGTCCAGCAAGCGCCAGACCACACCGCTGCGGCGAACCTTGCACAACACCCGCCCAAGCAGCCAAGCCTCTGACCAGCCCGGCCCCCACGGCGGGCCTCTGGTCTTCCCGGTCCCAGAGTCAGACCTCGAAATAGTCTCGGCTTCTCACTTCGAGCCCGGAACTTGCCACGTGCCTGCAGCGCTTGCTTGAACAGCTGGTACCTGCAGGCTGATTGTGTAAATCTCCTACTCTCATGCAATGAACAAGACAGCATGCGATCCCTCCCGCAAAGTGGCATGCATGAAAACGGACAAGGACAGAAGCAGAGCCAAAGCAGTCTCTGAAGATGGCCAGCACAGTGAAGTGACTCTAGGCTGTGCCAGACTGGAGCACCTCTTGCTCGTGACAGTGGCCATCTTCGGCAAAAAGGGCCTTGAGAGCCCGAGCCGGAGCCGGAGTAGAGCACACCAAAGAACACCCGTTCCCCTCGCTACTTCCTAGTTCCTATTGTGGCATTGAGTCGACGGCAGCACGGGTGCAAGGAACACAACCCACCTCAGCTGGGCCATGTAGAAACTGCTGATTTTTCACACCTGAGAGACAGACCATCAGCTTCCCAAGAAGGAGCTGTCCGTTTAGAGCCAAGCAGGCACTCGCCGCCTCCGAACAGATGTGAGCAGCGGCAGTGCATGTCGAGTGACTAGAGGGGCAGACAGGGCCTGCGAGCTTGCAAAGCATACGTGCACGAAGTTTCCATCACCGTGGCACACCTCAGACGCAGCGAGCGACCCGCCCCAATCAAACAACACGACACATCACAACACATGGAACTTAGGTGTCGCTTTGACTGCTCTTTTGGCCCCTTTGCCTCGACGATTGGCCCACAGATCGCTTCCAGCTGCTGTCGCACTGCTGCTGCCTCAGCTTGGCCGTGAGATTGCGTAAGATCCTGGTACTCAAAAAAAAAGGAGCTTAGGCTCTCACGAGTCGGCTGGGAAATCCGAAGACGGTGACCTCCAAGCGCAATGCAAACACAGACAAGGAAAACAATCCGTCAGCAGTTCCAGAATCTAAGCGTCGCACCCAGCAGCTACCGGTGCCTATCCTCCCAACAGGCCTTCCAGGGCATCATCGAGTGTGGAGCCGGTGACCGAGGTCGCCGAGGCCGTGGCTCGCCGCCAAGGCCAGGGCCGTCCTCGGCAGCGCAGGCATGCGCCAAAGGATCCACTCGCTCTCGTTGCAATCCCTCCCCGGACCCAACACACACAACGTGCGCCTGCGCAGGAGGATGCAGCAATAGGCTGTGACCCCAACCTCGCGACCAATCCAGAATATCTGAACTGGGCTCAGCACTCCTCTCCACCTTCGAGATTGCAGACATCCCTTTCCGAGACCTGCACCCGCACTTTGTCCGCCAAAGGACGCGTCCCTGACCGGCCAGTTGGCCTTGAAGCTTCACGGCACATCAAGATTAGCTTGCGTCTGCAAGCTCGGGAGGCCTGTGAAGCTGCAGCAGGAGTGTTGGCAACACCTCCAACAAGCGAGAAACGACAGGGGCAATAATGCGTTTGGGACACCGGGGCTCATTAGACTGAATGGCATACAACCAAGACCGTCACCCACAGAGCTGCCAAGCGCCTCCACCGGAGTGCTAATGATCCACCGGCTCCGAATATAGTAAAGGAACCTGTGGCCACTGCCTGCATTGAGAAGATCTTGGGGACCTCGTCGGCACCATCCTCCACCATAGCCTACGAAGCTCACAAATCGGCAACGACGCGAGTCATGGCCTACAGTAGCCAGCAACGAGCTGAGACTTGCTGTTTCACTGCGGCCTCATCTGGAGCCCCCACCCTGGAAGCTCCACCGCCTGCAAGGGATCCACCCTGCATGCCCTTTACCCCTCCTTACCCTGACTGTTCACCGCATGGCTCTCACATCGTCAGTGTGCCGATCACTTCCAGCCTTGGTACCCCAAGCTGTTGCCTCCGAATGCCTCGCGCACCGAAGACCCTCCGTGAAGTTTTCCACATGGACGCAACAAGGCCTCGAGGAGAGTCGGATTTGTCAGCAAGTCTCTGCCTGTTTCCTGCAACACGGGTGGAATGTGGATTGGGTGCGACTGCCACGTTGGTCATGTTGCCTGCTGCCGTCGCTGTCCAAACATGATGCCCCTGCATTCACGCTGTCTGCATCGGATGAATCTGGGTGTCCTGCAACTTAAACACACATTATGGCTGACGTGCGAAAATGTCGGCAGGTTCCTGTAAGCGTGTGTTTGAATATGGCGTGGGGCTGTCTTGCAGTACCGCAACATGGCAAGCGGAGCTTAAGTAGTTTCGCACAAATGAATACACATCAGCACATGGCCTTGAGCAGGTACAGATGCTAGCTTCGGCATGAAGTAAAATCGGACAAGCTCAGAAGACAAAGCTTCCAAAACTTGGCAGGCGCACGACATCCATCTCTGTGGCCCGTTCGACGCAAATCTGCACAATGCCGTCCTGGCCAGTTCGCATGCAGCACAAATGTCCAAATACACTCCAAACACACCACCACTGTTCTGCTAGGGCGACTACGGCATGAGGAGCCAAGAGAATCTTCCGGTTGATCAAAACCTGCACCGAGACGGACTATCGCAACAAAACAAAACGGCAGGTGCCGTTCACATCCAAGGTCGCGACGGGTATTGGTGGGCGCGTTTTAACAGGGTACATGCCATTGCGAAATGCAGATACCTCTATGTACTTGTAACAGTGTATCATCGCAATATCTGCCGTGACCGTGAGGGACAAATAGCCGCAAAACTGACCCGATGACGACGTTAGTGCTCGTAACGACTCTTCAACTTGAGCGGAAAAGTGTGCTGATTCCCAGCTTCATGCATTCACAACACAGTCATGCAGCCACAATCACTTGCAAACGGAAGCTCGTTAGACTGCAACTTCTGCCGGTTTGGAAACAAGTGTTCGTGAACGGTAAACTCAACAAGCAAAATCTCGATGCATCTGCACAGCTTCACGAGAGCTGACAAAGGCTTGGAAAATGTCGCTTGCACACCACCGTCTTGTTCAAAAGCTCCCTTCGCTTGAAAACAAAAATGTATTGCAAGAAACAGTAAACAGTGAATCATGTAATTCGGTAGCCCTGCAGTTTGAAGCCCCGCATCTGTGTGTTTGGACCCCGTTTGATGCCTCGTGTCCAATTTGTAGCATGGCTGTTTGTTTTGCAAGTAAACAGTCGCTCGGTGATGCATTGGCAATACATACAGGTTGACAGGTTGACAACGGTCCTTTTTCCAGTGAGCTCGGCGAATCTGCAAGAAGAGACGTCAACATTTCAGATAGATGAGAATTGTTTGGCCGATCCGCCTGTTAGACTGATGAGCGGCCCTGAGAAATCGACCCAAGGGCAGACAGTCTTGTTCCTATTCGGCCATAAGAAACCCTGGACTGAAAGTTTTGGGTCCAACCGCGGAGTTTGAACATAGAATTCGCACTCCAGGTTGAAGCTGAGAAGTTCAAACCCAGGGTTCAATCCCGAGTTGTGTTGCTCGCCAAATTAAAGTCCGTTCTTATCAGTCCAAAACTTCAGGACGTTCAAACGAGCCGTTTTCTTTCATGGCGTCATAGAGTCATGCGTTATCCTCTATGTTCGAACCCTTCGAGTTGCTATGTTCGAACCCGCGGGTTCGAGCTCTATGTTCGAACTCTGGTTGGAACTATTCAAACTCTGGGTTCGGGAAACTTTATGTTTGAACCCTGGCTTTGGGAAACTCTATGTTCCACGTGAGTCTGTGCAAGGGGAGCGGGAGAGGGGTCCGTGCAGGAGGAGGGGGCGAGAGGTGGGCGAATGGAACGCTTCAACAAGAAAATAAAACCAAAAAACAGATCAAACACAAAAAGAAAACCACTGAAAACACTTGGTTGTCAAAAATCCAAGGAAAAAAGCCTTAGAGAGGAGCTTTGAAGGCTAGTTCAAAAGCGACAACGCACGGCAAGTCCATTAATCCAAATATTGTTGATTCCGCCTTGTCAAAAATGGTCCCACGAGCCTTCTTGCTGAAGAGGTCGTTTTGGAGCGAAGTTGAGCCTGTTTTTCCGCCTTTCAAAAATAGTCTCACGGGCCTCCTTTCTCCATTATTCACTGCAGCGCACAGCAGTATAAGAAGGAAAATTCGACTCTCTTTTTCCAAGTTGGATAAAGTCTAACCCAATCTTATGCATTGCTACGGCACATTGTGTTTTTCACCAAGAGCACTGAATCTTTAAGTTTCACCTCTCTCCGTCCAGATTACGCAAGTTACATTAATCGACCTGCAAATTTGGGGTATCGTTTCAGGTTTCATTTTATTGGCTATCTGCAAATGAACAAGACAGGCTAGATCGACGTCTCGCACTGAATGCCATGCAGTGTAATAGCTTATCGCGAGGTGTCTCATGACACCAATTGCAACGGAACCAGATTTACAAAGAGTCGAGTGCCATCTGCCGATCAAGACTGAGAGATGATTTGGCAATCGTATTTCGGCACGGCTGCAGGTAAGCTAAGATACATTTGCTTTATGAATGTGCATGACTACAACATTCTTAACAACAGAACTGCTCTGGCTGCAAGTTGCTTCAGAACTGACCATTAAGAAACATGATACAACAGAAACAAACGAAAAATGTCTTGCCAAGAAGCGGTTTGCATCGGATTGTCTTGCACGTACTCCCTACAGTGTAATGTAGTTTCTTGAATTTGGGTTGGTACGTCATCTTTGGCATTTACAAAGTCTCACTCTTGTCTCTCTTGCCTTCTATGCCTCTCTACATGCTTCCGTTACAATTGGCACCTTCGCAGAACAAAACCTGTAACAAAGTTTTTTCCACAGCAAAACCAAGGGAAACACACGTTCAGCTACATCTTGCAGCTGCGAATGCTCGGAACAGGCGAAGAAATCAAATGTGTAAACAGTATTGAATGTTAACAATTTTAAGAGCCACCACGAAGCTCTTGCAAATCACATACAAGTGCTTTTATGGCATTTGCTCGACGACTTAATGTTTTTCGGATGTAGGCGTTGAGAATTGGTCAGAAAGCAGTCCTAGTGGCTTTCTTTTCAAATTTGATTCATGACACTGCAAGTCGGTTTCATTCATGTAAATTTGATTCGCTATAATGCAATTTCAATAACACTTCATGTTGCCATCGAAGCCGGAATGAAACCGAGCTATTCGGAAATGGGCTCGGAGTTGCTTGGAGCATCTCGGTTATCGGTCACTACCCGGTTGCACTCCAAAAATTTATCATCTTGGTTACTACGCGGTCAGTACGTAATCACTACGCGGTCAGTTCGCAATTGCAAACAGGCAAGTGTACAGCCACTCTGCTCCAGCCTTGTGCTTTCCCGAAACGAGCGAAGCGAGGGTCGGCGAAACAGCTGCGAAGTGCAAACCACTTGCTCAAAGCAACACGCACCTCTTCAATTCAAGGATGCACAAAGACATCTCGGGTGTACTGGTGCTCATCATGGCCAACTCAAACCATGCCAAACATGCCAAAGTCATGTCCAGGTCATGCCAGGTCCAGTTAAAACAACTTAAGGTTCAAAAACAAAACAGTTCTCAACTCAACTTCACGAAGAAAAAACAACCTAAGAGGATCGAGGGCACCAAGAGAAGTACAACTTTTCACAATTCCAAAGATGATTGAAACCTCGGATCGAGAACTCATGTTGCTGTATCGAACCCCGTGTGGGAACTTCCTACTTGTTAAGAAGCTTCTTCAAGCCTCTTTTCTCAAGCTTGAGACTTCTCAAAATTGCTTCTCAAAATTGAATCGAGAATCTGAGGCCCCTTCTCGAGCCCTGTGAGCTGATTTGGAGGCTACTCCGAATGGTTTCATGAATGGCTTAAGTTTCGAATGAAACTGGCTAGCAATGAAGTTGAAGTTGCTCGGAGTTGCTCGGAGCATTTTTTGGTCACTACATGGTCACTACAAGAGGTCACTACGCTCCAAATTTGGTTTCATGAATGGCTCAAGTTTCGACAGCCGATGCTCAAATCATTTTGGTCACTACGCGGTCACCACGTGCGGTCACTACACAGTCACCACGGTTCACTCGGATTTGGTTTCAATGGTCTCAGCCGAAATGAAGCCGGTTAGCATCCAGAAATGCTTTCTCGGAGTGGCTTGGAGTTGCTCGGATCATTTCAATCACTCATGAAACCAAGGAGCAACGAAGTCGAACGGCATCCCGGAATGGGCTCAGAGTTGGCTCAAGCAGACTGACGTGACTGTCACTTTTGGCACTCGCAGCAAGAAACGAAACGTCTACACTAACTACTAACTTGGCTCTGTAACTTGGCTTTACCGCGCTCCTTGAGCCAAACGGTTTCAGAAGCAGCTTCTTCTTGAAGCTTCCGTTCTCACTGGTGCACTTGCTTCTTCACAACTACAGCCAAAGCAGCTTGTTCAAGCTCAGCCCTGTCTTCCAGAAAACAAAACAGCTCTTGCGGAAAACTATCGTGGTGCCATGACATGCAAAACGTGTTGTTCCACAGCACTTCCAAGCTGGTAGCTCGGAGTTGACGCTGTTGCTACGCTTGCTGTAGAACAGGAACTGGAAAGCCAAGTTCCGCAAGCTTGCTGTGTGGGAAGCAGTAGCATGCTTGAACACTTGAGGCGTTTCTGCTGCAAGAGCCCACATGTTTCCGCGATGCTTTTCCAGGATATGATATTTCCGAGCATTGAACGTAACTGGAGCATCATGCATGCCGATCCACGTTCCATGAAGCAGCTACTGTCCA